TATAGACACACGAAGTCAAAAGAACGTTAGGCTGTTCGCTTGGAAGTCCCACGAATTCCCACACTTACAGAAACAGCTGATCCGTCACCCATCAGCTGTTTATGTGTATATTCCTAAGTGGACAGCTGCCTTCACCTCATTTCCTCGCCGATGGAAGCTATCCATGCAGAAATCCGGCTAATAGTGTATACCTGTTGGTGTTTGAAGCAAATCGGTGTAGTTTTGAGATGAGAAGCGCGCTTTAATTAGCTTTAATTGGAAGTATAACTACAGTGTGATCTATACCCATGATTCCTTACTGATTTTTCGAACTCACGCGGATAATAAATAGACAAAAATAAAAGAAAATATAAAAATAAAGTAGACATTTGATTAAAAAAGAAGTATTATACTCAAAAATAAATTTCAAAAAATCTGTTCCATTCGTGAACTAAGGAGTATCACACTTCCGAGTTGTGCGTGCGTCTTCGTGTTGAGGAATCCCACGCAGTAAGCATTAATTTCACTTTGTTGCTGAACACTGGAACACGGTTTAAGATTTTAACGTGTGTAGGTTTTTGCGCTTCAGTATTTTCTTCTTGGTGTATGTATACAAATAAATATATATATATGTGGTGTGTGTGTGTGTGTGTGTGTGTGCGTGTGTGTGTGTACGCGTGATTGTGTATGTGTGTGTATGTGTGTGTATCTATATACATACAAACACCTAGAAGAAAATAGTGTGTGTGCATGTGTGTGTGAAAGGGAAAGAGAGAAAGCGAAATTTTACTTTCTCTCTGCATTTCCCTTTTACATACAAGTTTCAGAATCAAAACTAGTAGAAGAATATCCAAATGAAAGAAATGAAATGAAATAAAAATGTTGATAATTAAGAGATAAAAATAACAGTAATACAAATAATATTAATTATAATAATGATTATAATGTTATAAACAATTACAATGACAATAGTAATGATAATTATGATAATAACAAATAATAAATGATAACAGTAATATGATAACGATAGTGATATATTATCATTATTACCATCATTGTTATCATTACTGTTATTATCATTATCATTATCTCAATATCATTATCATCATCATTATCATCACCATAACCCTTATCATCATTATGATAACAAATCTAAATAAAGATACCAATAAAAATGATGATAATAACAACAAAAACAACAAGAACAAAACCAGAAAAATCAACATAAAACAAGAACAAGAAAAAAATCAGAAAAAATAACCACAATATCATCAAGAACAACATCAACAACAAAACCAGAAAAAATAACGATAAAATCAACAAAAAAACAAGAACAAAATCAGAAAAAATAACCACAATAACAACAAAAACAACAACAACAACAAAAAACAGAAAACAAAAAATAACGATTAAATCTACACAAAACAAGAAGAAAAAAACAGAAAAAATAACCATAACAACAAGAAAAAATAACCACAACATCAACAAGAACAACAGCTACAACAACAACAACAACCAGACCAAGGGGGCCCAGCTGTATGTCACACGCATTCCAGGTGGATGTCAAGTACGGCTTCTCGGACGATGGAAATCAGCTGGCAGGAATAAGGAGGTCAAGGCAGGGACTCCGGGCTGGCTGAGATGCTTCGAGCTGGAGGGAGAGAGGGAAGTAGGAGGGAGGGAGAGAGGGAGAGGGGGAAGGGAGGGAGGAGAGGAGGAAGGGAGGAGGGGAGGAGAGGAGAGGGAGAGAGGAGGAGAGGAGGAGAGGGAGGGATAGAGGGGGAAGGAGGGGAAGGAGGGACGGATAGAGGGGGAAGGAGGGAGGGAGAGGGGTGGTAGGGGAAGGGATAGAGGGAGGATAAAGGGGGATGGGAGGGAGGATGGAGGGGGAAGGGAGGGAGGGATAGAGGGAGAGGGAGGGAAGGAGGAGGGGGGAGGGGTATTCCAGCTCCTTTTGAGAGTGTCGGAGTGGTATCGTTGGGAATTTGTTTGTGCTTGTCTGATGTTACTTCTCTCTCTGTTTCTTTTTCTCTGTATATGCTTACATACAAACACACATGCATACATATGGACAAACACACACACGCATATATATATGTATATATATATATATATATATATATATATATATATATATATATATATATATATATATAAACGTAAATATAAATACATATACATGTATATGGACATAGATAGATAGAGAGAGAGAAAGTAATGGACTGATAGCGAGATAGGTAGATAGATAGACAGATAGATAGAGAGAGAGTGAGAGGTGATAAATAAATAGATAGTTAAGCAAAAAAAATAAAATAGAATAAAAAATAATAATAGATAGATATAGATAGACAGACAAATACACAGTCAAATGGAAGTATTCACGGGTGAATGCCTAATAATAATAATAATAATAATAATAATAATAATAATAATAATAATAATAAATAGCATTTATGTATGCGTGCGTGTTTAAGACCTCTCCTATTTACGTAGATTCTGAAACCCTTCGTAAACCTAATGGAAATGAAGTTACAAATAGAGCTCAAGACATTCGGACAATTAAGATGTTCGCCTGGTGTCTCAATTTACATATTTGCATAAATTAAACGCGTAGTTACCCATACCGGTTCATTTTAATACCGGTTTATATCATCTCCTAGTTACCCATACCGGTTCATATTATCTCCTTTCTCAGTATCCATATTTACCAAAATACATTAACAAAAATCTTTCCTTCTCTCTGAATGCGTTATCTGCGAGTTTGTATGTGTGCGTGTGTGTGTGTGAGTGTGTGTGTACGTGTGTGTGTGTACGTGTGTGTGTGTGTCGTGTGTGTGTACGTGTGTGTAAGTATTAGTACCGGACAAGAACCGTTATTCGTCCATCGTAACCCTCTGGGTATGGAAGCTGGGGAGGGGGGGGGTGAGGGTATGGAAGCTGGGGAGGGGGGGGGGGGGGGGGTGAGGGCTGGAGGGGAGGGGGGGGGGGAGTCGAGAGGGAAATCGTATTCAGAAAATTTTAAAAATATATGGTAATAGATGAATCAGAACGAAGATAAAAAGAGAAACGGAAGAAGGAAAAAAGAAAACAGAAGAGAGAGGGAGAGAGCGAAAGTATGAAAGAGGGAGGGACACGGCGAAAGTATGAAGAGAGAGAGGAGAGAGAGAGAGAGAGAGAGAGAGAGAAGAGAGAAGAAGAGAGAGAGAGAGAGAGAGAGAGAGAAGAGAGAAGAGAGAGAGCGAACGAGAGAGAGAGAGCTATAAGAGAGACAGAGACAGAGAGAGAGAGAGAGAACGAACGTATGAGAGAGAGACAGAGACAGAGAGCGAGAGCGAAAGCGCGAACGTATGAGAGAGAGAGAGAGAGACAGAGAGCGAGAGAGAGAGCGCGAACGTATGAGAGAGAGAGAGAAAATGGAGCTTTAGTGGCCGTCAGACAAATTGTGAAGAAAAAAAAAAAAAAAGGTGCTTAAACTCTCGCCTTAACCTAAACTTGATCATTATCTTTTTTGGCGGGAAATAAAATGCCTTTTTTATCCTTTTTAACCTTATGCTTTATTCCTTTTTATCCTCTTATCCTCATGTTACTTTATTATTCATTTTCATTGTATGCTGAATCATAATTGTTATCATTATCGTTGTTGTTAGTTTGTATTTTTATGTATTTTTATTTGTTTTCATATTTTTCCTAAATTTTCGTGTCTGTAAAGCCGCGAAAGTAGTAATTTTGTTTGTTTGTTTGTTTTATTTTATCTTTTTAAATTCTTTTTTGTGATATGATTATGAAAGAACAAGCAATGCAAATTAATGACGTGATGAATATGATTGAATTGTTATTCATTATCAAATCATTTCATCATGTTATTCTATGACTGATATTGATATATATTTTTTTAGTATTATATCACGAAAACGTTACATTTTCAGGCATTTTTCCTTCCGTATTTGCTGCATAGTCATGGTTATCATTCGCATTTATGTTACTTTTCGTATAAATCACGAAAAAAGTGTCTGTCCTTGTCTGTTTTCTTCTCCTTCCCCTTCTTTCTTTCTTCATAAGGTCACGACTTCTTTAAACTTTACTCCTGTTTCCATCTCTCCCGAAAAGAGTCAAAAATTATTCGTCAGTCGCGAAAATTAACCCCCCCTAAAAAAAATAGGCATATCGATCATATATGCATGTGCCCCCCCCCCCTCCTTATCTCTCTCCCCTCTCTCTCTCTCCCCCCTCCATAGGTCTACTTAAATAGGCTTAGGGGGAAGTTTCAGGTACCAGTCATCCTGTGGACACCACCGAGCGACGACCTACTCAGCTTCTTGTCCTGTCACGCTTCACAAAGCTTTATAATGGCTACTCAGGGTACGTTTTCATTCTTATAGTATGCGGGTATATGTGTGGATGCTTGTGAATGGACGTTTTGTATGTGTGTGTGTGTGGGTGTTCGTGTGTATGTGTGGGTATATCTGTGTGTGTGTGAGTGTGTGTGTGTGGGTGTGTTCGTGTCATGCAAAATGTGAATATTATTTAGATAATCATGTTAAGGGTATTTAGTGAAATGATTATTGAGTGAAAAAAGGTGGATTATCGTCTGAATCAGGTTGAATGAGGAATTAGAACACGACAGGATAAAATGCAATGTTATAGATACTTCGAAGAAAGTGTCGCATACGACTTTTCCAATTCGTTTAAAATTTATGCGTCTTCTATCCAGCAATTTACTTTAGTTCTCGTTTGACCTTCGCATGAACAATCCAACCAACCTGGACAAAACAGCAATCCCTGAACCATCCCTTTGCAGGAATCACCTTCGCCGCCCTCCTCCTCGCCCTGGCCGCCCTCACGCACGCAGCCGACACCACCAACAAAAACGACGCACGACTTCTCTTCGAAGACGCCAACAAATCCGTCACCATAGGCGTCGATTCCATCTTCTACATCGGGGTCATCGCCGTCGGCCTGCTCTTGGTCGCGTCTTTCCTGGGGGTCTTCGGGACAACGGCCAAGGTTGCTCAGCCCTACGAATACGTCTCCGCTACGTGAGTTTCGCTTCTTCAGGACACGTTTGGCCTTTCTAGGACTCGCAGTGCTTTCCTTGTGCATGAAAGATGTGTAACTTACATACATATTTATAGATAGATAGATAGATAGATAGATAGATATACCTTATGATTATGTCAAATTTGTATCAAAGCTCTAACGCCTGTCTCTTTTCCACCAGTGCTTACGGTGCAGCCCCAGCCTACGATGAGAAGAGCACCTTCAAAGTGCACCAAGTTATTGAAGACGCCATCAACAAGTTCCAGTAGAGACCGCGAGGCTAAAATCTCCTGCTGAAAATGGCGAAAAATAAAAAACTTTCGTGTAAGTTCCAGTAGAGACCGCCAGCTTAAAAGCCTCTCGCTGAAAATATCTTCAACTGAAACCCTCTTCTTTCCCATCAAGTAAAGAGTTTAAAATCTCTTGGTGGGAAAAAAAAATCTAAAAAAAAATTATCATTCTGGCGTCTCCATACATTAAGATATTTGTCAGCCTTTTTCCATAATTTCTTCATGATGCCAAATGCGAAGAAAAAAATATTAAAAATATATCGTACATACAGGTAAATAGAAAAAAATATCTGTTTTCCTGTTGTAACGAAAATCATTCCATTTCACATAAAAATAAATCCATGTGATTTGCTCACCTGATTAACACAGTGGAATCCGTGACTGATATGTTAATCCTTTGTTTAAGCTATTTAATGTTATTTATTTATTTTGTGATGTAAATAAATTGTTTTGTTAAGAAATTTTTTCACTGATACCCAAATACGTGATGATGGTGAAATTGTATTGCTGTGTATTTTCTCTATGTCTTTTCCCTCTCCCTCTCTCTCTTTCTCTCTCTCTCTCTCTCTCTCTCTCTCTCTCTCTCTTTCTCTCTCTTTCTCTCTCTCTTTCTCTCTCTCTCTCTCTCTCTCTTTCTTTCTGTCTCTCCATCTCTCTCCTTCTCTCTCTCTCTCTCTTCTCTCTCTCTCTCTCTCTCTCTCTCTCTCTCTCTCTCTCTCTCTCTCTCTCTCTCTCTCTCTCTCTCTCCTTCTCCCTCTCTCCCTCTCTCTCTCTCTCTCTCTCTCTCTCTCTCTCTCTCTCTCTCTCTCTCTCTCTCTCTCTCTCATACGCGTGAGAGCGTATATGAGAGAAAATCAACAAATTTACCAAGAAAAGAAGAAAGTCCGGTATAAAAAAAGAAACAAAAAGAAAAAAAAAAGTGCGAGTAAACACAGATATCAAAACACCTCTCTTTAGTGGCTAAAGCATAAGGTCCATTTTTGCTCGTCTGTCAGATGCATCCTTATCATCAAATCTCTTGGTATATCATTGTTTACCTCTTTTTCTTCTATCTTTGTTTTTCCCATGTTTTTGTTTGTTTGTTTTGTTTTGTTTTTTTCTTGTTCTTTTTCTATTCCATTTTGTTTCTTGTTTATTGTTTAATAGTCATTGAAGGGAAGAAGATTAAAATAGCAAAGTAGGCATTTGTCTACATAAAAAAACACAAACATTCGGACACATGCGTACACAACAACACACATACACACGTGTAAAAATACGCACACACACACAAACACATATACGTACATATTTTAAGGAAAAGTAGTCACATAGCTTATATTATGAAAAAAAGAAAGGTAAATATAATTTCGGATATAAAGGAGGCATGTAAACAGAATAAAATCAGAAATCAGTAAATAAAAAATAATAATAATAATCCTAAAGCTATTTAACAGAAGAAAACGAAAGAGATATAAATACGTTAATAAAAAAAATACAATAATATAAGCTATATCACATCGACAAAAACAAACACTTGAAATGCTAAAATACAAAAAATAGACAAACCAGAAAATACATTATTACGAAATGGAAATCTTTATTCCAAAAAATGCAATGATAAATCTATAATCAATATACATTTACATAAACATCTGAAAATAAATGAGACATTACCTGTCATAGCAGCGAGAAAAAAAAAACAGAAAAAAGAAAATGGATGTAGGGATAACTAAAGTAGGTCGATGTGAGGTGTCATGCAAGGTTAAATATATTGCTGACTACGCTTAGGATTAACTTTTTGGCTGTTTATCTTTATATATGTGTATGGAAATTTATACATACTATTTATGAATATATATGTGTGTGTGTGCGTGTGTATGTGCGTGTGCATACATACATATATGTATGTTTGTGCACATGTGTTTGTGTGAATTTAGAAAATTTTACTTGAAAAGAGAGAAAGGTAAAGTTCTTATGGGAAAAATAGATAATTTATTTCATGCATAGCTAGGGACGATGATTTTAATAGTACTCGACACTCCTATCAATCCTTAGAATAAATTATCACTGTATGTATATTCATACAATACATACACATACATACTCATGCATACACAAACACACCAAACACACGCACACACACACACACACACACACACACACACACACACACACACACAACACACACACACACACACACACACACCGCACACACGCACCACACACATATATATAGGTATATATATGTATATATGCATATCGTGTGTTTCTGCCTGGTATATATATATAATATATATATATATATATATATATATATATATATATATATATATATATATATATATATTATATATATATATGTATGTATGTATATGTATGTATATGTATATACATATATTTACATATACAGGTGTGTGTGTGTGTGTGTGTGTGTGTGTGTGTGTGTGTGTGTGTGTGTGCGTGTATGTGTGCGTGTGCCCCGCCCCTAAAGATAGAAAGTGTGCCGTGAATGCAGGTACTGAAGCTCTCCCCGTAGGTCTACTTAAAAGCAAGCACTAAGGCGTTGGAAGCATCAGTCATCCCGTGGACACCATCGAGTGACGACCTACTCTGCTGCTTGTCCTGCTACAACTTTTTGTTCTACACAATGGCCTTTCAGAGTACGGTTTAACCTATTTTTCATACAGTAACACAGTAAAATCTGGGGGTGTTTTTGTGTACAGATGCGGTCACTGTAGATGTATTTGTAATATGGGAATACCAGTTTCGATTGGGTATGTGCTTCGTTACAGGAAAGTTAAGAAAAGATGGAGTTAATTCTATATTAGTATTAGAAATGATAAGGTTTGTTTGTAATTGTGACACATGCTGAAAAAAATCTGTGTATCTTAAAAGTTATTTTTAATCTCGCCTATTAATTTGAAATTACCTGCTTCACTGATAATAGATAACCGTCCGGGTTTCCTATTCTGTAGTAAATTACAAATTACAACAACTAATATTGCCTGCGTATATTTAGAACTTCATTTCATGTTTGTTTGTTTGTTTTGTGTGTGTGTGTGTGTAATTTGCTGTCTCTCTCCCTCTCTCTCTTGTTTATTCTGTTGACATTGCCATCAACCTAACCATCCTGAACAAAACAGCAACCACTAACACATCCCTTTGCAGGAATCACCTTCGCCGCCCTCCTCCTCGCCCTGGCCGCCCTCACGCACGCAGCCGACGCCACCGACAAAAACGACGCACGACTTCTCTTCGAAAACTCCGACAAATCCGTCACCATAGGCGTCGATTCCATCTTCTACATCGCGGTCATCGCCGTCGGCCTGCTCTTGGTCGCGTCTTTCCTGGGGGTCTTCGGGACAACGGCCAAGGTTGCTCAGCCCTACGACTACGACTACGGTGAGTTTCGCCTCGTCTGATGGGACTAAGGGCAATCTATCTGTATATAAGCTTTAGATATTGACATTTACTTCATTTGAAAGGACAACTATCATATTAATTCCAAACTCTATTTCGACAGCGGTTATACTGCCCCTGCACCAGCCTACGATGACAAGACCACCTTCGTCCAGCAATTGATTGATGATGCTGTCAACAAGTTCCAGTAGAAACCGCAAGCATAAATATTATTCGAGAAATGAATATGCTTGCGGAAAGAAAATCCTGTTATGATAATTTATTATTTTTGTATAAACTTTTCAGCATGGATCCCGTGATGGATCTGTTGATTCTTTGTTAACTATATTCTATTTAATTTATGATGTAAATAAACTGTTTTGATTATGTATTGTTTTCGACTGACCTGACGTGAAGTGAAATCATCTTTTATCCTCTTTTTACATTCGTTCTCTCCCTGCCGCTCTCTCCTTTTCGTTTTCTTTCTCACTCTCACTTTCAGCATCTCCTTTCTCCCTCCCTTAAGCTCTCCTGGCTCCTCCCTTTTCCTTCTTTTTCCTTTCTCTGCTGTTTTCCTATACATAACCATCCATCTCTCCCTCACTTTCCCTTTCTCCCTCTTTTCTTCCCGATTCTCTCTTAAGTCTAATTAAAATTCCTTTGAGGTAAAACCGATTTTCCCCTTAAACTGTGATCCATATGATCTTTCCATCTTTCCAATGCATGTAAAAGAGAGAAAAAAATAAGATATATAATAAAGAGAAACGTTGAAAGATACCGAGCAGGAATAATGATGTAGTCCTACAAATTAGTGACCCAAGTGTGTGTGTGTGTGAATATACCGTCCATTATTATACCGTGGTCATCAGTCATCCTCGTATTAATACACCCATGAGCCAGGTTTACATCCAGGAGCCAAACCTTTTCTTGTTTAAATCTTTTGTGTTATCTGGTATCACATAATTACGGTAATCGCTGATAAAGGGAGCGCAAAGCAACAAAACTTCAGTAATGTGGCCGCAAAGCAAACTATGTATGTGTGTGTATAAATATATGCATATATGTTTGTGTGTATGTGCATACATACAAACACATTCGGATATATATGGATGCAAATAGATAGATATAGATATGTCCGCAGTGAAGAACATGACATGAACACTTCAAATCATAAATCGAGAGTGAACATTTCTAATAATAATTAAAAAAAAAATTGTCACATACACCGCATAGTAAATTTAATCTACAGTTGAGATAAATCAAGTCTCAACATTCAACAAATGGCAAAGAAAACAAAACCAAATGCATAGACAAAATGTCGAGAAAATTAAAATGAAACCATTAACGAATAAAGTGAAACAGAAAACGGACACTCACGCAGGGAAAGTGTGTTACAAGGGCAGGTGTTCGAGTGTTGGTGTGGAATGTTACCTCTACGGAATCGCTGACTACATCCGAGTGCATATATGTGTGTGTGTGTGTGTGTGTGTGTGTGTGTGTGTGTGTGTGCTCTATGTGTTAATACATGTATATTCATTTATATAGATATAGATTGATATATAAGTATACATATATGATATATATATATATATGTGTGTGTGTGTGTGTGTGTGTGTGTGTGTGTGTGTGTGTGTGTATACAAGTGCTAGTGCCCTGTCGGCATCTTTTTCGTACAGATTTCATGGTTCCTCCCACCCCTTTTTGGTGATGTAACTTCCTATGTGGTCGGTTAAGAAATTCTTTTTTATTATTATTATAGCTGAAAAGTTGACAAAAACAGGCACCGCACGGTGTACAGTATATGTATCTCTATCTTCACTAACATATTCATGTATGTATCTATCTGTATGCTACATATATATGTAGATAGATCGGTATGGATGTGTAAATGTATATTTATATTTCATATATTTATGATTTTATTATTGTGCATATGTTTTATACACACGCACACAAATCTATATCCCGTACATGGAGAAAGTGACGTCAATGCAGGTACTTTACCTCTCCCCGTAGGCCTACTTAAGCAAGCTCGGAGGCGTTTGAGGAACCAGTCATCCTGTGAACACCATCGAGTGACGACCTACTCTGCTGCTTGTCCTGCTCCGCTTCTTAAGCTTTTGCGCTACACAATGGCCGCTCACGGTACGGTTAAACGCATAGCTAATGTAGTATATGAAATACGAGTTCGGGTGTTTGGGTGTGAAAATACTGTACAGTATACATACGTCGATATAACATACTTGTGATATCGTTTGTGCTTGGAATCTTCAAGAACCATTGAAGTTGGTATCTTGTTTCGGTTTTACAGTGAAATATGTTAATAGAAAGAATATTGAACAGTTTTAGTCTAAGACATATGAAGGTTTCATTCAAGTGGGTTTAACTCTTCTCTATGTCTAATCACACACATACATGTGTGTGTTCTGTTAGTTTTGCTAGGCTTTCTCACCGCCATCCTAACCATCCTGAACAAAACGGCATCTACTGAACCATCCCTTTGCAGGAATCACCTTCGCCGCCCTCCTCCTCGCCCTGGCCGCCCTCACGCACGCAGCCGACACCACCAACAAAAACGACGCACGACTTCTCTTCGAAGACGCCGACAAATCCGTCACCATAGGCGTCGATTCCGTCTTCTACATCGGGGTCATCGCCGTCGGCCTGCTCTTGGTCGCGTCTTTCCTGGGGCTCTTCGGGACAACGGCCAAGGTTGCTCAGCCCTACGACTACGACTACGCCTCCGCTACGTGAGTTTCGCCTCGTCTTAAGAGGCTTTGGCGTTCTGAAATTGATCTCTTAGTTGATAAGAATTGTATAGTGAAATTAGTTTATATGAAAGCGTAACTGTAATAAACGTATATTAATTCCAAACTCTATTTCGACAGCTCTTATGCTGCCCCTGCTCCAGCCTACGATGACAAGACCACCTTCGTTCATCAATTGATTGATGATGCTGTCAACAAGTTCCAGTAGAGACCGCGAACATAAATATTCGAGAATCGAATATGCTTACAGAACGAAATACCTGTTGTTCTGTGCATTTATTTTCAAACTGTTCAACTTGCTGTGATTTTTCTTTTTCTCCTGGTCGTCACAGTAGACAGTGGAACCTGTGATTGATCTGTTGATCTTTTGTTTGTTATATTTGATTTAATTTATGATGTAAATAAATTTGTTTATGTACTGTTTTTGAATGTCCTTCTGACGTGAAATTAAATTACTGTTTATCTTTTCGATTTGGCCTCTCACTGTCGCTCTTTCTCTTTCGTTTTCTTTCCCATTTCCTTTGTCTCTCCTTTCTCCTTATCTTAGGCTGTCTTATCGCCTCCTTTTCCCTTTTCTTTCTCCTATCTCTTCTGTTTTCTATAGATAACCATCCATCTACCCCTCGTTTTTTTATCATTATCTCCCATTTCTTTCCCATTTCTTCTAATTCTCTATTCAAATCGATAGAAATTCTAGTGATGCAAAATCGTTCTTTTTTTTTTTTTCTTTCTTTCTTTCTTTAACTTTAATTCTTCCTATGCACTTAAGAGAGAACAAAGAGAAAAGTTGAAGCCAGATATGCTCAGCAATATTTGTGTGCGTGCTATTTGAGTATCTCTCGTCAAGCCAGATATGCCAGAGAACCCTATTTCTTCAAAGCAATATTTGTGTGCGTGCATGTAGGTATGTGTGGGTAAAGATACCGTCCCTTATCAAAGCGTTATCATCTGCCATCAACCAAGAAGAGCTCTCTGTAGCCATGTGGGAAAGAAAAAAATAAGAGAATGAAGTGTGTGTGCACATATGTGTGAATGTGTCGTCCTTTATCAGTTTGTTATTATCAGTATCATGGGATCAGATATCTCAAGTCAAAAAGTCAAAGTTGGTCCCATATCCTATCCGGACGTAGGGGACATGTTTTGTAGAGAAACATGCTTACTAAGCCGCGGGATGATGCGGTAGGGTGGCCAGTTCCTTTCCGCCCCGACTTTGACCCCAGTATGCTGACGTCAGCATACCAGTGCTCATTCACAGCTGAGTCGACTGAGAGGGGCAGCCGGGCGCGAACCCAGGACCATGCGATTGCAAAGCCAGCGCTCTACCACTGAGCTATGCCACCTCAGATATCTCAGTAGCCAGTTATTTATGACTTTCTCATTCCTTCTTTCTCTTGAACACTTTATCAAGATTTGTTACTTTTATCGCATTATCACCGTTGACGTTAAGTGGCGAACATCAATATTGTTGCATCAAAACTAAATATATGTGCATGAGTCTTTATTTATACATAATACAAAACCATGTACACAAGAAAATAAGATAATAAAAAAGAAAGAGCCACAGTTCAGAAATTAAATTGAATCTGTTATGATTGTTATCTATATATATATATATATATATATATATATATATATATAGATAGAGAGAGAGAGAGAGAGAGAGAGAGAGAGAGAGAGAGAGAGAGAGAGAGAGAGAGAGAGAGATTCCTATATATGTGTGCGTATATGCACATACGCGTGTAGATGTAGATGCATATAGACAGATATTGTATATCAGTACAACGTGTCGTGATACATAGTATTAACATAAAAGCTTCGATTATAACAAAAATTAAATATCTATCGAAATGGAAATGATATTTCTGGTCGCACTCACAGTCTATAGTAAAACGAAATCAGATCTTGATATCAAATAAAAGACAAAGAAAACGACACGAAATGCACAGACAAAGAGTCGAACAAATAAAGTGAGAATAAGACTTTAAGAACATCATAAGGAGGGCAACAGGAAACGGACACTCTCGCGCAGGGAAAGTGTCTTCAAAGTCAGGTGTCCGAGTCCAGGTGAAGTGTTTTCCCTCTACGGAATGCATGTGTTCGTGTATGTGTGTGTGTGTGTATGCATACACACACACACAAACGCACACACATACACATACATTATATATATATATATATATATATATATATATATATATATATATAATATATATATATTATATTTATATTTATATAAATGTATATATATACATATTTATATATATACATATCTATATCTATATCTATATATATATATAGAGAGAGAGAGAGAGAGAGAGAGAGAGATGTATATATATAAGTATATATATATATATATATATATATATATATAATATATCAGTATCCGAAAAAAAGATACATAACCTGTCGGTCTCTTCGAACCAAAACAGAATAGGATCAGACGAAATCCCGGACTGCTTGCAAACGTCGATTTTTTGCTATATATTGAAACCTCCATCTCCAACTTACATTTTCTATCAATGCGTTCACTTATCTATGTCTGTACGTATCATCACTGTTCTTTACATGAATATATATCCATCTACGTCTATATGTATATAATTCATATCCCAGCCCCAAGGAGAGAAAGTGTGCCTTCAATGCAGGTACTTTACCTCTCCCCGTAGGACTACTTAAGCAACCACGGAGGCCTTTGAGCTTCTCATCCGAGGGTTCGCGCCCCGCCCAGGCGCGAGAAAGTTGCAATTGTCGCTCGGAGGTTACTGCTGTAGCTGGGCACTACGGTGGGTAAGGACTAAGCTCTGTCGCGTCAGCATTCGCTGACACACGTGATCGAGTCGACATTAGTCGGCACAGGCCGGGCTCCCCCATAGCCCGGGCGAGGCTCAGCTTCGCATATCGGACTTATCCTTATCCTTATCCTTTGAGTAACCAGTCATCCTGTGAACACCATCGAGTTGACGACGATAATCTACTGC